ATCTTCAAATAGGAAGACGATAAGATGATAGGACAAAGAAAACATTGTGGGGAGCAGCCAGTTTTCCTCTGAGGAGACAGGAGGACAGCCATTTCTCAGGACCTGAATTTAAGAAGTATGAGAAAATGGTCAAAATCTCATATTGATAACAAATTGAGCTCAGTTATTTCTCAGAGAAAAAGAGTTGGACAAAGACGAGATCTGATTTTGAATTTTCCTTTCCTCCTTTTTAAAGTGTGTAAAAATTCTTGTAGCACAATAAATGAAATGGAGAAAAACACACAACCAAGGGTACTGTATTAATTTATTATTCTCTTCTAGTGCCAAACACAAGAAGGATTGTCCTACTGGGAAAAACTGGAGTTGGAAAGAGCAGCCTGGCTAACACCATACTGGGAGAGGCTAAATTCAAAATAAACAATTTGAATGATTTGGAAACACAATGTTCTCCTGCCGAGACCAAAACTATCAATGGAAGAAGCATCACTGTGATCGACACTCCTGGTTTCTTTGACACAGAGAGATCTGAGAAACGTGAGATAGTGAGGTGTATCACAGAGTGCGCTCCTGGGCCTCATGCTTTTCTCATTGTGCTTAAAGTGGAGAAATTCACAGAGCAGGAGAAGGCTGTCATCACGCAAATATGTGAATATTTCTCTGAAGATGCTCTAAACTATGCTGTAATTGTCTTCACTCATGGTGACCAGCTCCCTGAAGGAATGAAAATGGATGAGTATGTCAAGCAAAGTGAGGGTTTGAGTGGTCTGGTGAAGAAGTGTGGAGGCCGATGCCACGTCGTCGATAATAAATACTGGAAGACCAACAAAGAGGACGAGTACAGAAGCAACCAGTTCCAGGTGGAAGAGCTGCTCAAGACCATAGACAAGATGGTGATGGAAAACAACGGAAGATACTACACGGATGAAAAGCTACAAGAAGTGGAAAGGAAAATACAGAAAGAGGAGGAGCGCATTAGAAAGTCATCAGAAAACTTGTCAGCGGAAGAGATCAGGAAGCAGGCCAGAAGCAACGTCTTTAAGAAGCAGGTGAACAATGGAGTCTGGGCATGGATTAGAAGTTTAGTGGGTTTTGCGGTTGTAGCTGGATTACTTGCAACTGCCTCAGCTATGTTGATCAATTCAAAAATTTTTAGGGTATTAAGGGAAGCACCACTATTAAATGAAGAATTAACAGCACCAGCA